CCTCTCTCTCTCTCTCTCTCTCTCTCTCTCTCTCTCTCTCTCTCTCTCTCTCTCTCTCTCTTTGCCCCCTTCAGGTTATATTTAGTTTGGCTTTAGGAGTGTCGACCTCTTGCTCTGCAGCAGACTCTGGCCTTACAAGGCCCAACCACCAGTATGGTTGCATAGCAACCCTTGATGTTTTCACCTATGCGAACGAGTCCACCAATGTGCTACAGCAGCAGCTAATCATCATAATCATCCTATAAGCATCAACAACATCAGCAGCAGACTGAGCATGTGCACCTCATGTCTGGTGATGCTCCTGTTGCTAGATGTGCTATTATGCATTAATAATTTTATGAAAGGTTATTGTAGTTTTTAATCATTTTGTTTTTATTGATATTTTCTTTTTTCTCGTTTTAATGTTCGCTTTGCTGTTTTGATTAAATTTTTTAAATGATTAATTTTGTGTTTGTGTGTGTTCTAGTTTGGTTATTTATTTTATTGTAGTTTTAGTATTTTAGGGCTGCCAAAGTTTAATGTGCTAAGCTAACTACTATCATTTAAAGATATTTAACTGCTAATTTCTTAGCACAGTCTAGTTTTATTGCCAGTTGCATTTTCATGTTTAATGTATATAAAGTTCTAAAACTAAAATTAATTTGTGACCATTTTTATTTTACGTTTTGTAAATCATGAAAATGCATTTAGAGTACCTGTAGTTTTAGTTAAAATATATTTTTTTAATTTAAAGTTTAAATTAATGATAACACTTATTTTACATGTTTTGCCTGACAGGTCTGCTTTAACACAAATCCTAAAAATACAAGTTAAACAAAAATAAAACTAAATTGGGCAAAGAATAGTGGGTAGATTAATCTATTACATTTATTTGCATTGCATTTTAAATAATGACGATCAGATTAGTCAGTTATGCTTTCAATATATACTTTGACAAAAATCTTCCATAGCATTATAAATAGCAGTGTTGGGGAGTAACTAGTTACATGTAACAGCATTATGTAATTTAATAAAAAAATAAATCTAAGTGTAATCCATTACAGTTACTGAGAAATCAATGTGTAATTAAAATACAGTTACTTGAAATGTTAACGATTACAAAGGGGGGGGGTTTGCTGCTTTTGCCTGTTTTTGATGTGCATATTGCCTCCTGCCGTTTAAAGGCTATTTAGTAAAGTTATGCTATTCTGATGCTTTTGATTGGTTCTCTTGTTTGAATTTGCAGCACACCACTGCCATTGAAAGATTTGCAACAACCTGTCTGAGAGTTGCCACCATGATGAGTGAGAAAAAAATGTGCTCCAGTGCTGCAAATTTAAAAATCATTTAATCCAGAAATCAGAAAAGGGCGCAAGTATAACAGTTCAGTGCAAAATATGTTTTCCCATATTAAAGTGCCACTGACATCAAAGGTTTCAATGTTGAACCTGAGGAAGCATCTGCATGTATGTAACATAGCCTACAGTTAACTGTAAGCAGTCATTAATTAAAATAGGAAAGGCATTGCCTATTCCCACCTAATGAGTAGGCGATTCAAACCATATTTCTGTATTGCTTGGTGCATGCCCAGTCATTTATTTAACGATGTTAATCTCCATTCATAACAAATTAGCAAGTCTGCTAGCTAGATAAAGAAGTCTTTACCAGCCACACTTCTATTTATGAACCCTTTGACTGAAAATATATAGAGTTTTTCCTCCTTGAATAAGGTTGGTAACCATGCCAGAACTAATATTACAGTTATTTCAGCATTGTAGCATAACCTATATGAATGGCTTACGGGGTAATTGAGTTGTGAAATTCAGGGCACCAAAGCAACTTTGAGTGCCACTGTAAGGTTAACCTTGCCTAGTTTAAATGTTTGAAAATGATTAACGGTTGAAAACATTTGAAAAGTAATCAAATGTAATCAATTACATTACTTTACTACGTTAACTTGTAATCTGTAACCTATTACATTTCCAAAGTAACCTTCCCAACACTGATAAATAGTAATGGTAAAATGTAAGTTTGTACACATTTTTGCATATGTGCAAGAATGAGGACCAAATGTGAGCATGCCGAAACATGACAAAGACAAAAGTCTCAGAAGCAGCTGTCACAGGCTTGTATTTACAGTGACATTGTTGATTGGTTGTAAGTCTAGAACTCACACACTCACTGACATAATTCAGTCCTAAACACAGTGCATCTTCTAGAACTTAATAAAGACATTTATGCATATTTTCAGTTGCCATTTTTATCTGCTAAAAGGAAACAATTAAACCTGGTGGTCAATTACAAGCCTGTTTACAACAATTTCTTTTACAAATATTCTAGCGTATGTATATATTCAGTTGGTTTATGAGCGTAAGCATATATATATGATTGTATTATGTGTAAACAGCACTGGGCAGGATCAACTTAGAGGTAAACAGTGTACATTCTGCATGGGTGTTTGAGTATAGAAATACATTCAGGCATCTATTTGTCTAATAATAAATTAGAAGGTGCAGTTGTCCACTATAGAGTTACAATATTTGTTCCCATACAATTAGGATGAGATTTAGTGTTACTATGGAACAAACAAACAGCTAAATGTACTGTATATGTGTGGGGATCATGGAGAGGATGATTTTAAAAGCATGTCATGTGTCCATGCTATATATGTATGCGGATCCTCTTTACTGTCCCGCTCATGTTTTGATGAGGGTTGTTTATTGTTCTACCATTCTTGAGGTTGTATTTTCTGTGGTGGGGCATGTTTTGATTGGCATGCTTCAGTCCAAAAGGGCCGTCCTTGTCATGCCAGGGACACTGCTTTAACTTAATAGGGGAAGGGCCTGAAATGTTGTACTTCACACATGGTGGCCTCACACTCTTCCTGAAATGCTCACATTCATGCACATGTGGCTTATTGGCTCCCGTCACAGCAGAGACACGCCTGATGCCAACATAATAGCCCTAATCTGTGTCTTAAATCAGTGCTCATTATAACTCATCAGCAGCTGTTACAATGACGGCCGAATGTGTTACTGATGACTAAACTAATGGCTTCAGTTCAATTAAAGGAATGTTCTGGGTACAGTAAAAGTTAAGCTCAATCAAAAACGCCGTGCCACAATATTTCCACGTCTCTCCTTTTCTCTAAATAAGACTGTGGGTTACATAAATGTTCAAATACTCAATGTTTCAATTGTATCACTGCAAGATACAAACATGTATTGACCTCATTTTTTAATCAGCATTATGCCACAAATGCTGGTAAGTGAACTTGTTGAACCCAGAATATTCCTTAAACTGGCATTTATATATCGTTAGTCAAAGAGCAGTTTATTTCAAAAAGAGAGATACATTTTAGTGTTTTCTTAGAACATTTATCCACTTGTAACTCGTATGCATAAACACTTGTATACATGTTTGCAGTCACATGTCTTGTCCATGGTCCATGTCTTGTTTTAATCTTGGGGATGTATTGAACGTCAAACTTCTTGTTACAGTGAAATAAGATATGAGCAGTAAAGTAATGTACTTTTGTGCGTCTTTGGAATGTGTTCTACAGTTTGACATTCAATATCCTTTTAGTAACTCCAGATGGTGTTGCTCTCCTAGATGAATTGCATAATTCCACTATTGGTAATTAAACATCTTTTGTATATAAGGACTGTGTGTTCCATATGAAGAAGTAAGTTAATTAGTGTAGGAAGGGTGTTTGGATGAAGTTTTCATTTTCTAAAGTCGAGGAAGATTATGCCATAGTCTCTTTTTTTTTTGTTGCTGTACTGGTGCCAGGGTTCAACATTTTAGTGTTTTCTTAGAACATTTATCCACTTGTAACTCGTATGCATAAACACTTGTATACATGTTTGCAGTCACATGTCTTGTCCATGGTCCATGTCTTGTTTTAATCTTGGGGATGTATTGAACGTCAAACTTCTTGTTACAGTGAAATAAGATATGAGCAGTAAAGTAATGTACTTTTGTGCGTCTTTGGAATTCTATCTACAGTTTGACATTCAATATCCTTTTAGTAACTCCAGATGGTGTTGCTCTCCTAGATGAATTGCATAATTCCACTATTGGTAATTAAACATCTTTTGTATATAAGGACTGTGTGTTCCATATGAAGAAGTAAGTTAATTAGTGTTGGAAGGGTGTTTGGATGAAGTTTTCATTTTCTAAAGTCGAGGAAGATTATGCCATAGTCTCTTTTTTTGTTGTTGCTGTACTGGTGCCAGGGTTCAACTAAAAAGCCTTCTAGCAGACATGAGGTCCAGGGATTTGTCTGTTTTAAAGTCAGGACATGCTGACCCCCGCTGCTTATGTCAGGAACTACAGCATAAATGTGTAGAAGGATTTTGGCCTGAAGTCATTAGAGAAGCTGCACCTTAAACTCAAAACTGGTGTCTGCATATGTATATATTATAAATGTCTTTAAAGCCTGTAGGCATTTTGATATCAATTATTCTTATATCTATAATGTGACAAACCCCATAATATATGGATACTGCCTGAGAGTTGATTGTAAATTCCACCTTTACTGTTATTTTATTTAAAGCGATCTTATGTAACTGAACATAAAAAATAAAATAAAAAAAAGAGTACACCCACACAATTTAAAATATTAACAATTTTATTTACAGTTTCACCACAACATTCGTCAACATGTAACAGTAAAAAACATGAATGATAAATCATTTAAAATCACATCTTATAAAATTCCAAGCTTATTTTTAAGTCAAAACATATTGACTAAGTAATGTCAAGTTTAACAGTAGCAAAATGGAGTGAACTAATATAATGTGCAATTAGAGAAGAAAAAAGAGAAAAAAAGAAGATAGAGTCAAAGAGAAATGAGTTTCATCAGTCCCTGGACCATTCCATTTCTGAGGTATTTTAATCCACCTCTTCAATAGTGGGCCCCTGAGCACCGGCCCCTGATGCTCCACGTGCCTGAGTTCCACAGCCTCCAGCTGGCATCCCTCCCTGATACAGTTGCTTTCTCCTTTGTATTCAACTTGAACTTTCGGCTTCCCTCCATCACTGACGACTTGGAAAGACCAGTGCTTCATGTCAGACTGCACAACTGGGTCATCAAACTTTCTGCCAATCAGCCTCTTAGCATCAAACACGGTGTTGTTGGGGTTCATGGCCACCTGGTTTTTAGCTGCATCTCCAATGAGCCTCTCAGTGTCTGTGAAGGCAACATAGCTGGGTGTTGTTCTGTTTCCCTGGTCATTGGCGATGATCTCCACTTTTCCATGCTGAAACACCCCCACACAGGAGTAGGTGGTGCCCAGGTCAATCCCAATAGCAACTCCTTTTGCAGATGACATGTTGGATTTCTTTGTATGTCTACCTGTATTCAACAAGCAAAAGAAAAACAAAATCACTGCAATGTAAAATCAATAATTTTCACCATTTAAATTAGTTATTTTTGAAGTTAAACTTTAGATAGTTGTTTTTATGTAAATATATTTTTTGCATGTTCACACTAAATTAATTATTTATTATTAATATAATTATTGTTGTTAATAATAATAATAATAATAATAATACACAAATATAGCCTAATAATACACACTTAAATAGATTTCGAATTAGTAATTCATTAGGCGACTCTTCATCACATTTATGTTGACACTTAATCGTGAAACAGATGCATATAAGAAAAACAATTTACAGTAGGCTAAGCGTTTCAAGTTTGTGGCATAAGTATTGAAATTCCAATAGAAATAAAAACGAATAGTGGTAGTATTAATTATTTTTCAACTTACCTTGTATGAATTCTTTCAGGCGTAACTGTGGCTCGTTGCTTGGATAGTTCACTTCGTTATAGCTCTCTTTCCGCAGTAAGTCAGATCTCTCCTGAAGTACACGGCGACCTGATGGAATCAGCCGTGTTTTATACTGTCCAGGGTTGCGCTGCTGAAGTTTCTCGAAAGTGCCAGCGAATTCGACCAATCAAAACGCGGCACAGTAGAACGGCTCCACCCACACAGCTGCGTCATCGCATAGACAGACAGTTCTAGCTATTTCTGGAGTTTTCTGTTTCATCTTGGGGCCACGTGAGATCATAAAACTATAGTGAACCTCTTAATCTGTAATAGTGTTATTTTTAAACATGAACTTTTATCAACTGTTGATGTTACGGAAATGTATTTTAAAAGCAAATAAGCCTACAAACAGGTTAACATTCCTAGGTTATTTATATGTTACTCATGTAGAAACTTGTTTCAAATAAATTCGAATATCAAGGCAAAATTAAAGATCGTAGTGGTAAATAAACAATTAACAAATGTTTGTTATTTTTCTGTAGGCTACGTAAATTAAAATCGTGGTTTTAATTAAATTTTGCAGATAATCAAACGAATGACTGAATCTTAGATTAAAACAAGTGTGTAATAAGAGGATCTTTGCCCAGTTAATGTCAAACTAATTGATTCCATTCAATTGATAATATAACTGAAGTATTTTGGTGGAATATGGGTTTTTCAGTACCTCAATTATCTTATGTTGTATTTGTATTTTTTCCTTTTATTTCTTTTTCTTTTCAGTTGATAAGCCAGTGGGAATTAGTATGTGTTTGATTTGCAATAAAGCTAAAGATGATTCGGATGATTCTGGAACATTGGAGACTTTGTTGCAGTCATTCTGCTCTATTGTCTACAGAGGGCTCTGTTACATTCATTATTTTGCATTTTTCTCAAGACTATTTCTATCCCTTCTGATCTGCTCAGTAGTACATAAAACACCTATGTGTCATTATTATGAAATTACAAATGCACAATTTGTTTAAAGCTACTAAGTGAACTTGTGGGCTGTGAAATGAACCAATAGCCAAATGACATCAGGGGTTCAACCGTAACTTTACGAAGCTACGAGATTACTTTTTATATGCAAAGAAAACAAAAATAACGACTTTATTCAACAATTCGTCTCCTCCCCGTCACCCTGGTGCCATTTTGGAGAATATCCACTGAATGTAATCAGCGTATGCTATTCTGTCAGCTGTGTCATGACTCATGCGTGACACAGCTGACAAAGAATAGCATATGCTGATTACATTCAGTGGATATTCTCCAAAATGGCACCAGGGCGA